AATGTTGGATAGAAAGCCGACTACTCTATTTGGAGGGGAAATGAAAAGGGAAAAGGAAAAGATCCGTGACTGCTATAGCTATGGAAAAAGAAAAGGAAGAGTTTTCACTTATTATTTTCAGTGTAGCTGTTTGTCATAACATAACTTGTCTCCATGATTCATGAATCTTGCTTATTTCTTTCTAGGCCCTAATCATGATAGCCATTCAGGTTCATGGAATGCAAGGACCGAAACAACCGTAGTGCTATAATGTTGCCATATTCCTTTCTTCCTACAATGGCATCACAAAGTTTAAGGGATGCTGCGGATAAGGTCTGTAATAATTGATATTGCTAATTTCTCTTTGCTTGTTCTACACCATTTGTCTACTTGTGTTTCTTTTAAAACAGGTTTTGATTAACCTGCAATGGATCTCATGTGCACAGGTTATAGCACTTCTTGGTGATTATGATTCCATGCATGTTCGTCGAGGTGATAAAATAAAAACCAGGAAGGATGGGTTTGGTGTTTATAGGACCCTACATCCTCATCTTGACAGGGATACACGTCCAGAGTTTATACTCCACAGGATTGAAAAATGGGTTCCACCTGGACGAACTCTTTTTATTGCTTCAAATGAGAAGACACCAGGATTCTTTTCACCTCTTGCTGTCAGGTAAACCTTTTCAAACTTAAAAAAATGAGAATTGTAGTCTCTAATTCTTAGCTGGGAAGTAATGCAATTGATTTGGCCATGACAGATTATACGTACAGTTCTGAGAACTCTCAAAAAGAAATAAATTAGAGATGAGCAGAGAAAAAAATTCATGATTCTGTATCCTTTTGTTAACTTTTGTGTTTGCTAAGTACTACTTCATTGCAACTTGCTAATTTATCATGGAAAAAAAATCATCCAGAAGTAATATCTTGCATGATTAACTCAACTGGTGTGGATGCTTGGTATGGCATTTCTATTTTCTCATTGATTAAGTTGGTTGTATCTGATTGTTGAACATGGTTCTGATGCATGGCTGCAGTGAGTTTTTTTGCAGTCAATACTTACTTTTCTCTGTAATTGATGCCTCTCTCTTCATGCCTTTTAAGAGATGTCTTTGATGTTGTAGAAATCTCTGCCACCATTTCAGGCAATTGGAAGAGACTTTTGTTTCTTTAAAAAAAAAAATGCTAAATAGAATTTCGTTGTAATTTTTTTATGATGTCGAAGTTGACATTGAACTTTGGTGGCTCATATTTTGCAGATACAAATTGGTATATTCATCTAACTACAGCGGAATCCTGGATCCCGTGATTGAGAACAACTATCAATTATTTATAATTGAAAGGCTTATTCTGATGGGTGCCAAAACACGCATTAAAACATTCAAGGAAAATGATAATGATCTTAGCCTCACCGACGATCCTAAGAAGAATACCAAGTCATGGCAATTACCTGTTTATACCATGGATGGAGTAGAGTAAGGAAGTTGATAAAGCATTCATGACCATTGCACTTTCTGTTACCAATCCAGCTTGAGTTTTCTCCTTGCATGCCATTCTTGCATATATGGTCATTCTCACATGACATTATGGTATATGCCTGGATCGCTAATCATGGATGAATCTCGTAGCTTTGTTGAGGAGAATCAGCTTGATGTTGGTTGTGAGAGGGTTATTAATTTGCCAGTGTATATTGTGAGCTATGTGAGTTTTAGTACAAGGTTGTATGCGGTTTCGTATTATGTTGGTTGTTATTGTGCATAAGTTTTGTAGAGAAAAGAGGAACCCTAGCCCCTATCTTCGACCTTCTTTCCCTTGTTAAATTCACAGCTCGTCCCTGTTTCGCAACGGGCATTTCCCGAGTATCATCTGGTAGATACTTCTTGATTTATACGCAAATTTTGGACCATGTGAAAATAACTAAAATGGGAGATCAATATATTGTACTAAGTTCTTGCTCAGGTTACTCATTCATCTTAAGGTTTTGGGTTTGAGTTCATCAGCATTTTGGGAAGTCTCGTATTTTCTTTCCATGAGCTCCATTTGTGAAGTCACTGTAATCTCGATAGAGATGAGGTCAAATAGGATCGAGGAAGAAGGCAATATTCATTGTTGGTTGTGTCAGCTCACAAGTTCACCTATTTGTTGTTGTAGCAATTAAAAAAAAAACATTGCGTATCAGGGTTTCATTGTACGTACTAGCCCGAGGCTTGTTACAATTTGGTTCGGAATAGTCTAATAATCAATTTTGTTTTATGCGTATCAGGGTTTCATTGTACTGGCCCGAGGCTTGTTACAATTTGGATCGGAATAGTCTAATAATCAATTTTGTTTTTTCTTAAACAAAATCATTTGACCGCTTATTAGGGTAATTCATTTTTTTAATCATGTTTATTAGTTGTTACTAAATTAATTAGGTTTAGGTTTTTTTTACCTTTTTTTAAGCATAATAAAATGACTAAACTGTTTTTAATGCTTTTAAAAGTAAACGGTTCTTTATGGGTTTTTAGTATTTCACTTTTAAAAATAAAATAAAATAAATAAATTAACTATTTAACTTTTGTCGTAGGGTGCTATTTTTGGTGGTGGGGCAGAGTTTATGACAAGGCGATGTTGAGTATCCCAAAAAACATTTTCTTCTTCATTTTTTATAGTTAATTATTATAAAAAAAATCACTTTACTTATTATTAATTTTTTAAAATTATATTATTAAATCAACTGATTTTATTTGACCAGTTAAGTTAAAGATTCAAGTTTTGTATTTTTCTTATTTCTTTAAAAACATTAGTATCATTTAAATATTTTTTTTTACATTAAAAAACATCGATCTAGCCTACAGTACAACACGAATAATCTATCTAATATATATTTATTTTTTATGTCAAAAGAATAATATATTGTATTCTTTTCTCTTTTTATTTTTCTAAACTTTAATCATAGTTGTAAAAAGAAATTGGATTTGAGTTCATACAAACTTAAATTAATTATTTTTATTAAAATAATAGTGTTTTTTTATTCATTTAAGTATTTAAGTCAATTTATATACGAACTTTACTAATTTTATAAACCCCGAAATTAATGACTATATAAATCTTCAGTAGCTCTGAAGTTTATGAAACTCAAACCAATGATTTTTAAAAAATTAATTTAAAATATAATTAATTTAGCTATATACCCTTCAGAATTGAAATAATAATTGAGTTTCACATGATTAACAATGGAGTTTGAAAAAAATGATCAAGTTATTTGATTTAATTAAAATTAAATCCGAGTTTAGACTCTTTAGGTTTTGAAATTCCTATATCATTTGCGCCTGTAATGGAAGGGAGATGGAGGAGGCCCATGATGGTGTGTCATGTCACAATGGTGCACATCAATCATGAGCGCATCTACATCATCCCATGTTACCTCACGATCGATAATTGAAAGCCTTGAAATGGTGACAAGTGGGACAATGATGATGCACAGATTGTCACCTTATGAGAATCTGCGGGGTGAGATGCTTTTTATTAGAGCCAAACTAATAAAATAAATATTTAAATAGTATAAATATTTTTTTTATGTGCATTGCAATAATAAAATGATAAAATATTTTTTAAAAAAATTTATTGTATTTTAATATATGTTAAACAAAATTATTTTAATTATTTAATATTATTTAAATGATTTGATGAGTTTAAAAAAATTATTTATTAATATAATATTAAAAAATAAAAAAATAATCCAAGTACATCAAGTAAAATTACCAAACTTAAAAACATAGTAACCTTATAAAAAATAAAAGTAAAAAATAACAATAAAAAATTATTGCGATGAACAGTATTTTATAATTATTTGATATTTTAAAAAATATATAAGAATTGTATTTTTAAAAAGATTATATTTTGAAATTTTATTTAATATTTTTTAAAAATATATCTAAAACACGTATTGAAAAGACAAATTAATATTTTTGTTTTATTTTTGGATTTACATTCGGCGCATCTTTTGGAGACGACCCAGGAGCCATGGAAAGTCTAAATGGTGGCTTTAATCATGAGTGGCATAATTTGGCATGTGGCTTGTTGTTATTCGGTCGCATGATAGATTCGATTTTTTGATGTCCTCTTTTAACGGTTCATGCAATGGGATGCATCTTTCTTTGTACGGCATGACTACACATGATCATGTCGCTTTGCCTGTACACGCACAGCTTTTTATCTCACTCAACTACGAAAGACACGTCGTTTTCTCATGACCATTTTTAATGGGAAAAAATCAAGGCAATTCTTTCTCCTTTTCTTTTATTTTTATTATTTTTTTTAATGATAGAACACATTTATTACATTCCTTAGAAACTTCATTTCCTCATTTTCTAATTGAGTTTAAATTTTAATCTCAAAATAGTAAATAATAAAAACATTAATTAAAAATGTTACGCTTTCCCAAATATCCATCTTTAAAAAGTGTTTTCAATAATATCAACAATATTTAATATTATTTATAGAACTTTGCAATAAATATTTCACAATTGATTAAACAGCATATTGCTCAAAAATAAAATTCTAAGTCTTTAGCAGCTTCTAGAAGCTTAGTCACAAGAAAATTTGATTTGATGGGTTGCTATGATGATTCAAAATTTGATTAAATTGAAATTAATAAAAAAAACTTAATTTTTTAAAATAATATTATTTTAAACTTATTTATATTTTAAAAAATTTAAATTAACTCGAGACAATTCACTCCGCCAGCTTCCTTGTTCTTAGATCATGGCGACCACGGGTGAGGTCTTATAAATATAGGAGCATACCCCAAAAAGAAAAGAAAAGAAAATATCTGACGTGGCACACACAAGACACAAACCCCAATCAATCCCCACCACCTGTCCTGATATTCCCACGTCATTTCCCTTCAACCGAAAGTGCATGGCGGGATGCTTTTACACGAAAAAAGACAACCCTTCCATCTCCTGCCAGGTCGAAAAGCCTCGCATTCACTCGCACGTACCAAATCAGTTATTCGCACGTGCTAACCCACCTCCTATAAATTCCTGCCACAGTCTCAAATCTCGCAGCAGCCGTAGCCTAAGATAAAAATCAGCACGAAAAAGAAGATTCAATCCTTCTCCGGAATATTCCTCCTCAGGTCATCTCAAAATCCTCTCTGATTACTAATTTCTAATTAATCCAAAAGGTTATCATTTTTGGCATAATTTTTTTTATTTCTCCTTTGCTTATAATTCCATATTTTTTTGCAGGAGAAAATAAGCTTCGATTATTTTTTTTTGTGATGCCGTATCTTGTACGCGAGAATCTTTTCATCGGAAACATAAGCGACGCGGCTGAGGTTCTGCAAGATGGAAGTTCGGAAATAACGCATATTTTATCGGTCTTAAGTTCCGTGTCTATATCGTTCTTTACGGAATGGAGAAGCGGTGTGGTAATCCCGGCGAAGGAGATAAAGAAAGTTTGCGTGGGTGACGGTGAGGATGAGTGGAGGAGTTGTTTGGCGGCGAATAAGGTTTTGTATGGGTTAGAGTATGCAGGGAAGGATTTGAAACTGGTGAGAATGGCGGTGCCGATCAGGGATATGGAGAGCGAGGATTTGTTGGATTATTTGGATGTTTGTATGGATTTTATTGAGAAGAGTAGAAAAGAAGGAGCTGTTTTGGTGCATTGTTTTGCTGGCGTTTCGAGAAGGTATATGATAAATTGTTGTCATTTTTCATGATAATGATGATGATTCTCTGTATTTTTTAATGTAAATTAATGATTGTTGCCCTTAATTTTGGATTATGTTAATATTGAAATGCAATGCTACTTCTCCCGAATGATTTTCTGGAATAGTATGAACAGTGTTTGGGACACACCAGAGGAGTCCATTTCATTAGTGGTTGGGTATTATTCAGGAAACTTGTTCGAGATGGATATGGATATTTTGGGATGAAAAACATTACTCTGATTCTTGCATATAGTATGAAATGTATTTTGGATCCATCGGTGAAGTGTGCTTCATCAATGGTTGGTATTATCTGGAAAACTAGTTCGGGATGGGGAATGGATAGTTTGGGGTAAAGAACATTACCTTATTTTTGCATGTCTACTTGCTTGGGATTTGATGTGCAAATTTGTGACTTTTTTCTTGGTTAATTTAAAACGGTCATGAAGTCTGTTTTGATATTTTTCAGTTGATTGATTTATGATCCTGAAGTGGATCAAAATAAAAAAGAAGTGTTTTAGGTTATCTTCTGACCCAATTTATGAGTGTTGGGAAATTGCTCAGAAGACCTGCCCTGAATTGTCAAGCCCTAATGGTTTGGTCCCTTCTTTCGTTTGTTTTCTTTGCAGTGCAGCTATCATTACAGCGTACTTGATGAAAACTGAACAGTTGTCCCTTGAAGGTTTGAACACATCCACTTTTTATTTGGAGCATTTTGGGTCTGCTGATTGGTTAATGCTGATGGCCTTCATTGTTAGCTTTCTGAAAATCTGGTGGCTCTTTTGTCTGACAACCATAAAAATACGTGTTGTTGTTTCTTTGAATATTGAGTTATTTAATATTTCATCCTTTTCCTTGCTCATCTTTTCCCTATGTGTCCCTGCAGATGCTCTTGAATCCCTAAGGCGAAGCTGTGAGTCTGTTTGTCCCAATGATGGCTTTTTAGAACAGGTATGCAAGGGTCCTGTAAAACCTATATGATTGTTGGGATGCATTTATGGTGACTGAGACATTGGTTTCTAATGTGATTGTCATAGATCTTAATTCTTTTTCCCCCATTGCAGTTGAAAATGTTTGAGGAAATGGGGTTCAAGGTTGATCATGCTAGTACCATATACAAGCGGTTTCGCCTGAAAGTATTGGGTACATGTTCTTAGTATATTGATCCTCACTTGCTGTACCTGTAAATTATTTTTTTGTATGATAAAGCAGGTCATTAAATAGGGCTCTGCATAAGCATAATTTTCGAGGCATGACATTAGTACGTCCTTAACCTTGAGCATTTGCATGAAGTGGTTACTTCCAAAATGTGAATCTGCATATAAGAGTTGGCATAGCATAAGGGGTCATGCATTGAGCATTTGATGCTTTTCCTGCTTATCCAATTAAATTTTCATCCTTAAATTCTTCCAACTGGAACATTATTATAGATCTATCTTTCATGTCTGTTGGAAACATATTCTTTCCTGTTACAAACATACAGAATGATTAGATATGTTGAATCTGTGATTTTTTTTTTAAATTTTTTTGTGAAGGATTAATTTCCCCATGCTTCCAGGTGAGTTTTACAACCGTGGAGAGAAGATAGACAGTTCTAAATTTGGGGCAGATCCTGGTGTACCTACACAAATTTCCTCTGAGGAAGAAGCATCTCCAAATGAAGGGGAAAAGGCTATTCCTGCATACCGCTGCAAGAAATGCCGTCGAGTAGTTGCACTGCGGGAGAATGTTGTGGATCATGTTCCAGGAGAGGGCGAGACATCTTTTGCATGGGGCAAGCAGAAAAGTGGCAACCCCTTTAACAAGTCCAGTGAGTCTGAGTGTTCATCTCTTTTTGTTGAGCCTCTGAAGTGGATGACAGCAGGTATTTGCAATCTCATTTTGTAGAAATTCCAAAGTCATTGGACATTTTTAAGTTTATTCATAAAGAAGAAAACACAGAACTAATTGCAACTTCATTGGTTTACTTTGAGTTAGTATAATGGCTCACTAGTTGCTAGAGATTTCTCAAATCCTTGACTTGTTTTTTCCACCAAATGGTCAACCTCCATTCTCATATTGTGTTGCTTAGCTGTAGAAGTACTTCTCATCATCAGTTGAGATAATTTCTGGGTATAACATTATCTATTTATGAAAGCCACGTGGCTATGTCTTGAAGATGTATTGGCCTATGCAGCTATTGTGATGCACTCTTTTGGAAAAGGGCATCCTTGTATTCAGTGCATAGAGATTTCTAATGGAAACCATTAACTGATAGAAGTTGGGGAAAATTATGAACCACACAAACAACTCGGTTCCATGCGCTAAGGCCATAATGAATCAACACTTATGACATTTCAATGATGGAGGTGCTATTTTGTATCTTATAGGAGAGAAGGATTTAGGGGGAAATAACACAGTACTTTTGAAAGCATCTTGAAATATTTATCATAAGAATTATGCGTAATTTATACCTGTTATATATATATATAAAGGTGCATTGCATTTGTTGCCATCCCGTTTATATGTAAAGAGGATCCAAACAAGTGCTTTTCAATTATCCATGTTTTTCCCAAATCCGACTTGACTTTTCCATATCATCATCGTCATCTAGAACTCAATTGATCCTTATACTTGGTTTATGCCTTACCCAGGGCATGTTTTTTTAATTGGTTCATGGGTTTTAAGAATTATAATTTGTGCATACTAGCTGGAAATGATATAATAGCTCTTCCTTGTTATCCAGTTGAGGAAGGTGCATTGGAGGGAAAGTTGTCCTGTGCTCATTGCGAAGCTCGTTTGGGTTACTTCAATTGGTCAGGTATCCAATGCAGCTGTGGGAGCTGGATTACTCCAGCCTTTCAGCTACACAAAAGTCGAGTGGATGTTAGCACTGCCTAATACCTTCGAGGCAAAAGAAGATGCAAGCATATCTCTTGACTGCAGTAAAGTCCAGTTTTCTCAGAGAAATTGATACTATCTGAAGAAAGCATACCGTTTCCTCACCAGTCCGCACTTGCACAGAATGAGCAAACCCCCCAAATCGTTTTATGAAGTTTCCATGCATATTCCCACGGAGATCTATCTTTGAGGAGCTGGAGGCGCAGATTTGTAACTTGAGTGAAATAATGTCTTGTATTTATTGTATGATATGGTCATACAATTGGACCGCTTTGCTTGGTGGTTTGAGAATGTCTTTTAAAAAGAGATTTTACAAGGCTAGAAATGAATGGACAGCGAGGGCTAGGCCTCCTTATATTTCTAATTGATTTTACTACAGAGGTCAATCTATATAGCTTGTTAAATTGCTTGAATTCTTTGTTTCTTCGGCTTTTATTTAGTTCATTGGGCCGTTGGGTTGTCTATTCTCTTGCTTTTATGGGGTTATCAGTCTTTTGCTTTCATTTCAGTTCATGTGCAGCATGCCTGAAAACGGTATCAAATCCGAGCCATTGTTGAGTGAGTGATTGCAACCGACATCAGTTCCAAGTAATGTTGGCTTCTGTTCCCTTCACTTCCCACGTCATTTTAACTTGTCTTTGCGGTATAATGAACTTGCCTTGTAACAGGTAACCATGCCCTTGGCCAAGTCAGCCTCTATGCATTCTCAGCCAAAGTAAAAATTCTTTATCTATTCCTAGCAATTCAGTGAAACTACATGATATATAAGTAATTGTAATTTTTATTTTTATTTTTTTTAAAGGAAGACATACACAAGAAGAAATATAAAATAAAATCAATGATCCACAGAAAATATATAAATATCTACACTTAAGATATTTTTTTTTATCCTTATATCCATCTTTTTTTAATGAAAAAAGGGATCCCTGTAAATAATTAATAGGATGCCCTAACTGCATGAAGGATTCATTGTGCATCTAGAAGTCTATTCACCGCAACATTATAAATCATGTTACTCTTTCATAGAAAGAATCAATAGCTTGTTGTTGTGGCACAGAGGTGTTTTCTTAAGAGGTAAATAACGAGATTAATTATGGAAAATTCAGGTCAATGACCTTCAATATTATGGACAATTCAATCCCTTTACTTTCCAAATACACTGTATAAAAATTATTAATATAAATTTTTAAAAAGTTCACATGAGAGGTATATTGATTAATAAAAATATTATTGAAAAAATAGCTTATATGTCCAAGTTCAAGCAAGTAAACGGCGCACGTCACTGAGCGTCACCTCCAAATGCCCCTTTTAGGGGCGGTGGTGGAAGCCCTCAAAGTCTTCATTTTATTGGTGCCGCATGTGTGTCCAACGGTGTAATGGTTAAGAGCCCGTTTGGCTATGCATTAACGTTTGTGTTTTTTTAAAAACACAAGAAATGACTATTTATATGCAGTTGGATTATGGTTTTTTAGAAGCAGTAAAATATTGCTTTTTTACGGGAGTTTCAAACTACGATAGGCATACTGTTTAGTGAATTATACTGTGGAATTCACTTGTACTATTCATGTGTTTTTTTTTCATGTATTAATTGTTTGAACAATTTTTTTTAAAAAAATTTAGTTTAAAGTAAATTAAATTCATTCGCATGATAGATACACTGTTTAGTGAATTATACTGTTCATGTAAATAGTGTAATTCACTTGTACTATTCACGTGTTTTTTTTTCATGTGTTAATTGTTTGAACAATGTTTTTTAAAAAAATTTAGTTTAGAGTAAATTAAATTCATTCGCACTGTAATATCAATTTTATACCTGATAATATTTTATCTAATTTTATTACACGCTCACAAAATTATAAAAACTGTAATTCTTATCGGCTGAATTTTATATGTAATGAAATTATAAATAGTTTAATAGAATAATAAAAAAATATTTTATATCAAGTATTATTTATTTCATAATGTAATAGGAGTAGTTAATTCTTTTTAATTTATTTTTTCTAACTGAATTATATTTTCAACTTCATCCCTTAATATTTAATTTCAAATTATTTTCATATCAAATTTAATCTCTCTTCTTTTAATAATTATTATTTCTATTTTAAATTATTTTTATTTTATTTTTTAAAATTTTATCCTTTAATATTTTAATAATTTAAAAAAAAATTTAGCTACTTTTTAGGGTTTGTTTCCTATTTTTGTTTAGCTACTTTTTAGGGTTTGTTTCCTATAGGGTTAATTACGGGCTCATAACTGGGATAATAGGTTTTAAAAATTAACATGGGTTTATTTTATTTTTTAAAATTGATTTTTTTTTAATTTTATTATTTAATATTTGATTTATTAGGAATTGATATTTGTGTTTTTTTTTTTAAATTTTCTTTCTATGAGATTATCCTAATCTCATGAAAAAAAAATTCTTTCTATGAGATTATCCTAATCTCATGTTCATAGTCGCGAGGTTAACAAGTTCAATCAAATTTTTTTCTTAATATTTTTTAATTATTTTTTTCAGTTTCATCTTTTAATATCAAATTATTTGATAATTAAACTTTATAGTTTTATTCAATTTGCTTTTAACAAATTATTTTAATACCATGATGAGGTCATAAATGTGGTATATTAACCCGAATAGACTCAAGTTGATATTTTTTAAAATTATCAATTTATTTATTATCTTTATATTATTTGAGTTAATTGAGTTTATTATATATAATTAAGTTAATGACTCATTTTTTCAAGAACGCTTGAATTACCTTGGCATCTATTTTTACATTGAAAAATTTGGATCAACACGTGATGTAGCGCAGACCCTATCTAAGTGGCTACTAAATTATATGGAGCCACTACTAGTTACTTTTAAGTTTACGGTTTTTGGAACGGTAGTAGGTGTTATTTTTTAAATAGTTTTTATTTGAAAATATATTAAACTAATATAATTTTTTATTTTTTAAAAAAATTATTTTTTATTTCAAGATCAAAATAATCAAATAACAAAAAAAAAAAACACGATTGAACTGGACTCCCAAACACTACAAAATGAAAATCCTTAAGCTGCATACAAAGATGGAGAATAATTGGAGGCACCGATTGGAAGACAGTTTGGCTATCTGATGAACTACAATATTAACATAACGAGTCTTAAAGATCAATTTGAGAAGTCAAGTGTTGAGAATGATGGAGTGCTACTGTCAGTTGCCGTAAAGCTGATAAAGCTGATATGTTGCCGTAATCAGGTTCGATTTCTTTTATAATTCAAGTAAAAGGGATACGGAGACAACTCTTTGAAAAATAATCCTGGCTCTTCAGGATCTAGCATAGACGGGGCTGGATGTCGATCAAGAACTGAAGCAACCTAGGATAGCCAGTTTCAAACCATGGTGGCTAAGTTGTGCTGTGTTGTAGATAATCGTCGTGAATAGCCTCACTGCTTGTGAATAAACAAATAAGAAAACCAAGAAGAAAAAAGGTGTAAATTTAATTAATGAAAGACAATACGTAAATCTTTTTAATTAAAGAATAAATGGACCTCATCAGCAGGATCGACATCAGAATATGGAGTGAGCGCTGCGCAGTAGAAGAGGTGTTCCCTTTGGGTTGCCATGTATGTGCGTGTAGGTGAACAGGGGCACGGACATGAACACAGCCACATTTACACGCATCAGCACAAATACATTGGACAGAGTAGAATTGACAAGATTCACATAACTTCGTCTAAACAGCAAATGCATTCCATAGTCTAAATTTACAACTGTGTCAGCATATGAACTCCACCATTTTCATCAGATGTCCCATAAATAGGTGATCAATTGATCAGAAAGACCGCAAGTGTATGAGAAGACAACTATGTACTTAACCCCCCAATGACATGCATGTGTTCAGATACGCTGTCAACAATTGTACAGGTTCATCGTTGGTGTAAGAATTTCTAATCTCAAACGTGACACTGAATAAAATAAGCAAGAGGGAAAACACTAAAAAATGATGCCAGGAACACCTTGATGAATTCCCGGGTCTAGATCTAGTTATGAAAATAAATTCATCCGATCGATCACCCTGTCTTACTATTGATGGGTTTATCTCCCAGGTAACAGCCTGAATTCCATTTCACAGCACCGATGAATTAGTTGGACAGCGCTTCAAGAAGAATGTTTGTAGCTGTATTGATGTCATTCCTAGCCTGCACAAGTGCCTGTCTAGCTGAGCTCCCATCAAAGCCCATAGAAACCAGAGTAGCAATGGCATCCTGTGTTGGCTCTGTGGAAGGAGCCATGGGAGCAGGATAAGTTCTCTGAAACCAACGAGAAAGATCAGTTGTTATGGATAAATTAAATTAAACTAACAAAGTGACGTTGATAATATAAGCAATTGATTCACACCATAGCAGTTTCAGAGGTAAGAATTTATAGTTTCAAGTGCAAGATTCAAGAAAAGAAAAGGACAAGACAACTCCTTAAATTTGCAGTCTTGGGCCTCCCAAAAATTTTGTTAAAGAAAATTGACTTTCTATACTCAGAAATCGATCTGTTCATACAAGTCAAACTCGGGTTCCAGTCTCCAGAGGGGAGAAAAAAAGGTGAAGGAAATATAGGAAAATGATGGTAAAGGTGATAGGGGAGAAGGCTGAAGAGGGAGACAGAAGGGTGGTGGAGGTTGTTACTAGATTAGGCAATATTTTATATATTGCAATAATTTATATTGACAGGATTTTTGTGGTTGGTAGAGCAATGTTAGGGATTTATATGGTTGGTGGAGCAATGTTAGGGATTTTTGAATGATTTGATAGAGAAAATCATGCATGTAATTATAATGATTAGGCTGTGGATAATTTTAACTATTTAATTAGAGGAAAACCTCCATTGAGAGGCGATTAGGCTGTGGATAATTTTAACTAATTAATTAGAGGAAAACCTCCATTGAGAGGCATTCAAACAAAAACCAATTTCAATCTTTCTAACAGTGGTTATCGAGAGACTTGCCTCCACATGACGACCAGCATGGGATAGTGCACTTCCTGTTACATTCCTCGTAGTTGCTCCTTGTGGACTGCCCGTGGACGGCCAAGAAAGCCATGAGAAGAATGAAGCTATGAGCTCCGGGAACTGTAGCAGATAGAGTAGTAAACAATAAAGTATTAGTTTATAGCTTCGAGTCAGCTTTAGCAATTGACACTCTGAACACTTTGAATGTTTCATTAAATTTTAATTATAAGAAACAGATGAAGGGAAAAAGAGGCAGGGAATAATACTTTCTAATGATGCAAACTGACTTGTTTCCTGTAGTAAGTCAGTTACACAAGTTAAGAAGAAGAAAAGGAAACTTGATGGTCAACTAAACAAGGGAACATTGTTATTTGTAATTTTGTGAAGATAAATTGAGCACAGAAGCTGAATCATATCCTGCACATGCATGC